CCCCAAAACCCCAAAACCCCAAAACCCCAATTAATCAATTTTAATGAAATAAGTAAAGAAAATAATTTTTAGCATTAATTATAATTAAGAAATACTCAAACTTTAGCAATTTTTGCAATTCTTCTAAATTAAGGGACAAACTTACTTGCTAATGAAGTGTTCGGGTATCTGACTTTCTTAAGGTAATCCATTCTAACTGGTTCTTTAAAAGAGAAGTAAAACATCAGAATACTAGCTCTCTTCTCAAATATATTTATCATTCCTAATTACTCTGGCCTTTTAGATTGATATTGATTTCTCAAGAAGATTAACTCCTAAATTGAGAAATTTTTAATCTGGCTTTTATAGAATTCTGTAGATAAATTTGCTAACTGTTCACTTTCCAATCGAACTTTCTCGAAGATTAAAAGTAAGTCATGCTTCAAATTATCTTCTATTAAACCTTATTCCTTTTGAAATTAATCCTATATTTTATCCCAAAACTATGGAAATATCTGGTAATCGATGTCATTTTTAGCAAATAAATGGCAGACAACTCTTATTAATTCACTTTTGAGGCTCTTACAATCCTTTATCTAGTTTAAAACTATATTTTTATCATTATCTGAGAGATCCTTTCCCTTTATTTGGACCTTAGCCTTGAGGAATGCTAAAAATTCATGATTTTACATTCCAAAATTTCCACTCTAACTTCTGCTGTTGAATATATCTATTGATTGGATCATTTTTTACTTTTCCAAATTTAACCTAGAGAGTATTACATTTGCCTTGATAAATAATTCATTCTGCTTCAAAGAAGATTTGTGTTTTATAATTAGATCTAAAATATATTGGCTAGCATTTTCATTTTTGACCTTAAGTCCAAAATAATAGATCTGTGTTAACAATTCTTATACATGCTAATAATCCAGATCGGAATTTTGGTAATCTTGCAAATATCGCCCAATCAATTTCTCATTCTCCAGTTTGTATTCATGATCATCTAATAATGAATCATAGCATAGGAGCATAAGGAGCATTATATGTCTATCACCTTCAATACAGTTTGGCAGTTCTTCAAATAATTTTGCAATTATCGGGAAGATGCCTGTGCGATGATAATTAAATGAACTTTATAATACAAAGTATTGCATTAAAATGCATTCAATTATTTGCCTTATATCTGTTCTCCCGACTTCCTACATTAATCGCTACTTAGTAATAGTATCTATGATATTTAACTAGCTTTGTGAAAAAACCTTATGTTTTGTGAATATTTAAGTAAGTAGTTAAAATTACCGAAAACTCATCTCTTAAAATTACTCTGATAGAACATGAATAATCTTAAAAATATGAATTCTTTCATCATTTTATTTCATAAATTAATCTTTAAAAAGCACTTAGTTCAAGATTACGAACTAACTTAAATTGCTCTAATTAAAATTCGGTATTTATCTCATATAAGATTTTCTAAGCTTTTTGTATATTTTGAATTTCCTATCAATGTTTAATTACTTTGGCTCTGATTCTTCCAGCTTAAATGTCAAATACAGTATCATATGTATATTAGTCAATGATTTTAGACTAAGCATAAACTTAGGATCGCTATCTTATTCAGTTAAATACCAAGCGAGGAAGTCATAAATTTCAGACCAATGCTATATGTTCTAAGGAGTGGGTGATGAAGCATAATCATTCTCAGCATATAACCTTAATTTCTTAGTTAGCTCATCAAATTCTTATATTGTGATTTGGGAAGATAATTATGATATGGTGTTTATCATATCTAAGGTTAGATCCGTCTATTCATTTTATTTAATATCGGTGGATTAAATATTTTGAGTTTTTGAGTCTTCATCTTCCCAAATTTCCTAACGCTAATTTTCTAGCTAAGAAATAGCTGTAAAATTTTTAATTTCCATGATTTAAATGGCTATTTAATTATATAAAAATTCCTTAATTCACGATTCTAATTTAAATAATATTTCTGCTATGTTCCCTCAAACAAATTATTCAAATCTTTGGGGTTTTGGGGTTTTGGGGTTTTGGGG